AAGGAAAAGAAGTAATAGCGTGGTGAGATTGACAATGCGGTTTGAGAAAGAGACCCGCTGCTCTGACAACTGTTTGGTCCTGCTCCAAGCAATGTTTGCTCGCGGGTAGATACAGGAACACACGGAGGGGCCAATGGCAGTTTTCCTGTGCTGGTTATGGGCACCTAGAGTGAATGGCTCCAGCTCAAAGGCCTACAGCGCAGCGTTGTAAGAAGCTACCCAGGCACCACTCTTCCCTTTCCCGCCGTGCCTGGCCCCGCCCCTTGCTTCCCACCCCTCGTGGCCCCTCCTCTCCTCCCTTTCCCCGGTTGGAGCCCTCCCCACCGCTGCCACCGGACGGCGGTTAGCAGCTGCTGCTGGCTCCTTTCTCCGGTCCTGGCCCTGCGACCGACGGAGCAGCGGCTTGCGGGCTCTCCTAGCACTTAGGAGCGGAGCGGGACTCTTGGTGAGTGCGGCTGCAGTGCGGAACTCTTCCAAGAGAACGTGGCTGCAGCCCGAGAGGGGCCGGGGTGTGGATGGAAGACTTTGACCCGGTTGAGGGAAACTCGTGCAGCTGTGTCGGTAGCGGCGCTGCCCGAGGTTTCTTGGCTCTGGCCACATGGGCAGAGGAGTGAACTGTGGCGGGACGCGCGTGGCAAGGTGTGTAGGGAGCGGCTGAATTAGAAGAAGGAAGAAGGGAGTGGACAAGCTGGAAGTCCACACTTGGGCTTGGCCAGGCCCGGAGGGGGAGGTTTGCTTGAGGGCCCTGGAGGGTGGCCCAGCTTCAAGTTCAGTCGCCCCAGCTTGGTGATCCTGAGCGATGTTCCAACTTACTCTCTACCCTTGCTCTGTTTTCTCGGGGTACAGAGTTGCCAGGAATGTTTCCTATCGCTGGGGAGAGGGTTTGGGAGAGGTGGGCTATCCGGCCTAGGCTGTTGCAATAGAGGGTGTGGCGTTCCTCTGACTTTCCTTTGCTCGGGAATGTGACCCTTTTCTGATGCATTGTGCCTGGACATTTTTAACAAAGGCTATAACTATTTTGTTGGCAGTGGCGGGTGACAGAGGGTCGCGCGCGCGCGGGCACACACACACACACACACACACACACACGTGTGTGTGTGTGTGTGTGTGTGTGTGTGTTTGCGCGTCCGTGCTTGAGAAGTCAGTCACGTTGCCGCCCTAGGGGGTGGGGAATCTTGAGGGCTTGGAGTTGGAGGAAAGGAGAGACTTTGGAACTTTCCTGCTGAGGCTCTTTTTTTTTTTTTTTTCTTTTTCATGGTCTGTTGATTTTGAGTAAGAATATCCCCCATTGGAATGTGACTGGATATTGGTGTGTGTTCGTGCTCTGACTGCAGCCATTTTGTGTGTGTGTGTCATATACATTTTTAAGAGTTCCATCGGGAGGAAAACAACTAGTGGAATTTGAGAAGAAATAAGTGAATGTGACTGAAGAGGTGGAGTGGCACAGTTTTAAGCTAGACGAATCCCTTTCAATAGTTACAGTATAAGGCCAGACTTTGAAAAACTTGAAGTTGTACAAATCAGTAACTGAAATTTTTTAGCTAAACTAGTGCTCATTATTTCAAGGAAGAGTGTATTTTCAGAGTATGGTGCGGCCAGATACATGGCAGTCTGACTTTAGAAACTTTAACAATGATGCTAAGAATATAAAACATTAGGAAAAGTGTTCTGACATTCGATAAAGGCCTGTATGCTTTCGTTGTAATTTTTATGAACTTTTATAAAAGACGGAATATGTGGTCCCAAGCGCAGATGTTTATATTTTAACTCATTCGTTTTAACTTAATACAACATAATAAACCCCCTACTCCACCCCCTTTTCTTGATTGTGAATTCTGTTTTATAAACATTTACTCCCAGATCTGAAATATGTTTAAATAGAATTTCCTCATGTTTTCTTATTATTTTATTTATTCACTTCTTTACTCCACTTATCAAAGGGCTTTGGTGATAGTATTATCAAACTAGTAAGGGGGTTGCTAGGGATGCCTTTCGCCTTTTCCAAGAGCCCAGTGAACTATTCACGCTTCCAGACTCATTCTTATTAACTTACTGCAAAAATTAGAATGTAATCATGCTTTATCTGTTTGATAGCTCTACCCTTATTTTTCTCTCTTGCTACCCAAATAACAACCTTGCACGTGGGGAGTACCCAATAAACTTATTAGTTGCAAGCTACTAAATGTTACTAGAAAGATAAGTGATCCTGAATGGAGTTCATGGAGTAAGAGAAGAAATTTTGAACTTTTATTTGATGTTTAAGCAACTTTTTTTGAGTGAGAACAAAGATACACTCTCATGTGTTAGTGACAGTTTATCCTCATAAAAGAAGCGTAAAAAAATCTGTAGATAAAAGGATAATGAGTATAAAAATGCACTCTTTAAAAGAGTGAATAGTCAGTGTGTATACTGGAATGTGTAATTTGTCATTTGCAGAAAGACATGAATAAGGTGCTGTTTGAATTTAGGAAATACTAAAATTTAACAGAGCTCACTAGTTATTATTTATAAAGGATAACACATTAATAAAGAAAGCTGCAACCTACATTATATTGTACTCCCGAGTCTTAAGGTGGTTTGAGCCTTTAGCTAGTGAAACTTTTGTGAACTATATTCTTAATCAGCTTGGTCTGACTATGCTATCTTGTCTCTGACAGCTCTCTTAACTACAAGAGTATTACTGACCTTCCAGTTACCTCTGCTCAGTCTCATCAGTCCTGTCCCCAACTTTCATCTCCTGAATGGATTTACCATTGCTAAGAGGATCCTTAGCAAATATTGACTTTACTAAAGAATGAATTTATTCTATTGTTTAAAAATGACTCAAGATTTGGCAACTTGATTGATCCAGAGTCTATGCCTGAAAAGCAGAGAACCTGTTTTAGTCATTAGTAACCCCTGTTTTTCTTCCCTTACTTAACTTCTCCTCTGTCCACTTAAATGTAAAGTTTTTTTTCAATGTAACTTTAAAAATGATCACCCTGCCAAAACCAATGCTTCAAGAGTTTGGTACTTATGAATAAAGTTTGAGATGCAGAAAGGCTGAGTACTCCATGAAAAAAAAAATATATATCTATTTCTATGTATTTTCTGATTCGTGCACACATTTATTGAAGAAAGTGATACCAAGCCATTTTGATTATTTTACACCTTTCTCCTTTGAATTTTTCTCATTCAGATTTCCTCCTTGTGTTTCTAGTGTTTCCCTGTCTTTAGATAAACAACAGAGTGTGCTTAAAGCTAGGGTTGTCATATCACATGAGGGTGGAAAGGACACAAGCAAGGGAAGATACTTGTATTTAATAACCAAAGAAACTTTCCTTTTTTAGTTGGGGATGGTTATGTCAGGTGCAGAGGATTGACTTAATTATATTCTTCAGTTGGTGGAATATTATCATTCTTAGGATTAGAACGACATTGCAGGTATTTGGAATAAAGTTTTTTTTTAATTTGGCTTATGCATTGGACTCTGCCTTTAGGAAGCACTTTCACCTAACATGCTTATATTAATTCCTTTCCTTCTTATAAACCCATCAAATTAGAAATTGAGGGTGTAGAGGGGCTGGAGAGATGGCTCAGAGGATAAAAGCAGTGGCTGCTCTTCCAGAGGTCCTGAGTTCAATTCCCAGCAACCACATGGTGGCTCACAACCATTTATAGTGTCCTCTTTCGATGAGCAGTCACTCTTTCGATGAGCAGTCATACATGCAGGTAGAAAACTGTATACATAGTAAATACAATCTTTAAAAAAAGAATTTGGGATGTAGAAACAAAAACAAAACAAAACAAAAAAATCACCCTGTCACCCTGGGAATTTTTTGAGGTCCACTGTTTATGAAGTACTTTGAGTGGTAGAAGTAAGTATGTAGAGACAGTGAAAATAAACTTCTTCGTGTGTGTGTGTGTGTGTGTGTGTGTGTGTGTGTGTGTGTAAATTGTTGGCAAAAGAAGTTGAGACAAAAATTACAGCTTGAAGATTTTTAAAGGTTCAGTACAATGGGAACACCAAAGAGAGTTGAAAAGCCTGTTAGAGCACAGGTGTGGCTGAAGGTGTAATGCTTGAAGATATTAATGGAGCAGGGAACAGAAGACAGTGGGGTTAGGGACAGAGAGAAATGAATTAAAATGTAAGTCTAAAGGCAGAAAGGGTGAAGCTGATGGTATTCTCTTTGCATGTTTTATTAAGTGATGAATACTATTTCTCAGTGACTCTATTTAAGATTCTTATTTAGTATCCAGCTAGAATTTGTAGGTATATCTTAGTAGAAAACTCAAGGAATAAGTCACATCATTGTAAGTGTAGAGGTTATTAATTTTTTAATCAAGAAGTACTATTTTTAGAGAAGTTTTATGTTAACAGGGAAATTAGTAGGAAATAGAGTTCTCATATGCCTTCTGTGTTTCCTGCACCATAGGATAAACTGTACCATAGTGGTACCATTGTTTCAACTGATAAACTTGATACTGACACATCATTATCACCTAAGATGTATTGATTACGTAGACCTTTCTCTTTGGGTTAAACATTCTATAGGTTTGGACAAAAGTGTAATGATTGCATTCCCGTTTGTCATATCACACAGATAGTTTGACTGACCTACAAATCTTCTTTGCTTCATCTGTGTAGCAGGCTTTCTTGGACTGCCAGCCCCCAAATCATGACACAGATACTTAGTACTAATTATGAATGCTTGGCCTTAGCTTAGGCTTGTTTCTAGCTAGCTTTTTTTTTCCTTTAACTTAGATTAACCCATTTCTATTAATCTATGTGCTTTCCCGAGTGTCATTTACCTCATCTACATACTTTCCATCTTGCTTTCCTGATTTCTCCATGTCTAGCTAGCCCTTTAGCTTTTTTTTTTTGTTTGTTTGTTTTGTTTTGTTTTTCGTGACAGGGTATCTCTGTAGCTTTGGAGCCGATTCTGGAACTAGGTTTTTTTTATTTTTTTTTGTAAAGAAAAGCAATTTTATTAAGAAGAAAAATAACAAAAGGAAACCGGGACCAGAGTGCAGGGTTAGTCCATCCGGGCCTTCAGTGTCCTGGTGCTGATCTTGTCCTTTTCAATGATGTGGACAATGACGCCCATGCCTAAGACAGCATCCCGGTCCACAGCATCCAGCATGGCTTGGGAAATGGTCTCAAACAGGTGTTCTGGATCCATGTTGGGCTCCCAGAGAGACTTGCACATCCCATACATTTGTTTGGAGCAGGTACCACTAACCACAAAGTCGTCAGTTACCATGGGGCAGCCAATGAGGTCTAGAGAGCAAATGAAGGGCTTAAAGGTCTTCGGGTCCAACCCGGCAATGACAGGCTCTGTGTAGTAGGGACCAAACCGTTTCTCATACAAGAGGTTGGCCACCATGCTCATGAGGGTGTAGGGCTTGATCTGCCGACCTTCCTTCAGCTCATACAGGTTCAGCCGGAACTTGAGGCGCTGGGCAACTGTCTGGAATTCGGTGGCCAGCCCGGACAAGCCTATGTACAGCCTGTCATCCATGGGAAAGATCTTCTGGAAGTCTGTTGTCAACATCTGGGCCTGGATCCTGAAACGCCTGTCCGCGGCGATGACCACACAGTTCTTTCCCTTCATGGCCATGACGGCCCATCCCTTGTAGGACATAATAGACATGATTGTGCTTTAGTAAGACTCCGATCGCCACTGTGATTCCTGTAACTGGAACTAGCTTTTGTAGACCAGGTTGGCCTCGAACTCACAGAGATCCGCCTGCCTCTGCCTCCTGAATACTGGGATTAAAGGTGTGTTCCACTACCTCCCACCCCTTTAGCCATTTTTAAATCAAGTACTTCTATATTTGGCCTGATAATCTTTTATCTAATAATTTGTAAGTATATTTTCTTTTTATTTTTCCTGACAGTGTCTTTTGTAGAGCATAAGGTTTATGTTTTAATGAAGCCCAGTTTACTAATTGTTCCTTTTATAGATCATCATCATACCTGAAGTCATCTAGGTTACCTTTTGCTATCTTCTAGGAGTTTTAACGTTTTATATTTTACACATAACACGGTGGCCCATTTTAAGTTGGCAATGCATTTAAAACTTAATTGCTCTGTGTGTGAAGTCTGCATATAGCCTTTTTTGGCTATTCCTCAAGTTGACCCCAGGGCTTCATGTATGTTAGGCAAACACTCTTAAGAACTGAACTACATATATCAACTCTATATTTATTTTATTTGAGACAGGATCTCATTGTAAAAACCTGAGTGTCCTGGAACATTTTTGCAGACTAAGCTGGCCTCAAACTCACAGAGATCTGCCTGCCTCTGCCTCCTGATTGCTGAAACTTAAGAGGTCTAACCACATGCATATCCTGGATTTCTATATTCATTTTTGTTTTTGCATGCTGATATTCATTTCTGTCAGCATTAAATGAAAGACTTATGTTTTCTTTTGTCCTTTTTCAAAGACAAGTTAGCTGCATTAATATGTATCCCTTTATGGGAACTTAATCTATTACATTGACTAATCTATTATTTTGCAAATATCACATTGTTTTTTTATTACTTTAGTCTTATAGTAAGTCTTTGTGAGGGTTAATTTTATTTTACTGAAATTTCATACAATATATTCTGGTCATGGTTTCCCTTTCCCCATCTCCTTCCATTTGATGATATTTAGAATCACCATGTAAACAATCTCTGGGCCCGTGTGTGACGTATTGCCCTGATTAAGTTAACTGACATAGGAACAATCAACATAAATGTGGGTCATACCATTTCATGGGCTGTGGTCCCTGACTGAATAAATAAAAAGAAAGTGAGCTGAGCACAGGCATTCATCACTGTCTTTTCTTTCTGTTGTGGACACAATTTGAACAGCTGTTTCCCGCTGTTGGCCATTGTTCCTTCCTGCCATGCTGAATAATATCCCCTGGAATTGTAATAAAAAATAAATTCTTCCTTAAGTTGCTCTTGTCAGGTATTTTGTCACAGCAATGAGACAAGTAATTAATACAGTCTTGAAATTGATAGTAATGTTCCACTGCCTTTATTCTTTTCTAGTATTGAATTGGCTATTCCATAACTTTTGCCTTCAATATAAATTTCAGAACCAATTTTTATAGGCATAAAATAAGTTTAACGTTTCTTTGGGGAAAGGGGATACCTTGAAACTATTGGGTCTCTGTATCCTTAATTCCAGAAGTACTTTAATTCTGTTGGTCCTTTTATTTATTTCATCAGGGTTTTCAGAATAGACATCTTATATAAATGTTATTAGATTGTTAACTAATTAATATCAAAGGTAAGCCAAGATAAATTGTGATGAGTTTTAAGTTTCAATTTGTGATTGTTCATTGCTGATAATATAGAAAGAACATTGAATTTTGTTTCTTAACTTTATATCATGAAATCTAGCTGTACTAATTCTAGGAACTGTTTTGTCAATTCTTTGATATTTTCTACTGTGACACTCATGTTATATGCAAACAAAAGTAGTTTTGGTTCTTGGTTCTAACAGTATTTAACAGTTATTTCCTTTCCTTCAGTAATTCTACTTGGTAGAATTTCCAGTATGATGTAAAAAGGAGTGGTAAAAGGAGACATATTTGCCTTGTTTCTGAATTAGAGGGAGGGCTTCCTGTTTCAAACCATTAAATATGATGTTATTAGTAATTTTTAAGGAACAGATTGTTTTTGTGAAATTAAGGAATTCCCCTTCTGTGCTGATTAATCTTGACTTTTAACTTGATTGGATTGAAAGATGTCCAGAAGATAAAACACATTTCTGGGTGTGACCTTGGGGAATTTTCAGAGAGAAGTAATTGAGGAAATTAAAACTCACCTCAAATATGAGGAACACCAGCATAAACAAGACTCAGCTGGAATAAATTAAAAGGAGAGAGCTGTTAGAACAAGCACATATTCTCTGTTTACTGGCTCATATGCATTGAAGAGCTTTCTTCTACTATGCCTTCCTGCCATGATATTTCACCTCATTACAGATCCAGAAATATGAACATAGCCAATTCCCAACTAAAATTTCTGAAAATGTGAGCTTTGACTTTATTCCTTCAGGTATTTGTCACAGTGGTGGAAAAGAAAACATCTAGTACAAAAACTAAGTGCCAGAGAGGTGAAATTGTTGCTGTGATGGCTGCCATGACTGTTGTTAAGATGGTTTTAGAACATGTGTGTCGTAAAAATTTGGGGAGAAATAGAAATGAGGGTTAAGAAAAGCCCCAGAATTTTATAACCAGAGCCAAATGGGTGATTTGGCTAGAACCTTAGCTCAGAATACTCACAGAGATGTGGACAGGAAAAACAAATGGAAATGAGGATTCCATTGGTAATTGGACTAGAGATTATTCATGTTTCATATATGTCAAATATTTTTTCTACATTTTGCGCCTGCCTTAAGACTTCATGAGAGGTTAAATTTGAAAGTGATAGACTAATTAGGCTGGTAGAAGGTATTTCTACACAGTGAATGAAGCCCATATTCATTCTGCAGTGTGGGCTTTCCTTGCTGCTTTTAGAGAGATTTATGTTGAGAACTGAAAACAATAAGTTAAGAAAAAAAATAATTGAAAACTTGAAGTTTTCGCAAAAGTTACAGCATGTAGCTTTCATAAAACTGGAGCCAAGAGCTGTTAAAGAGACTATGCTTAATAAAAACAAGTCAACTGGGGGTCAGAGAGATGGCTCAGTGCTAATTATTCTGAACTCACATATCCAGCTCTAAAAAAGAAGAAATAAGGGGATTGCTTAGGATTCCACTCTTCAACAGGAAAACAGCCTCAGTTCAAGAAGAGACCCCTGCCTTAAAAGAAAATTGTAGAGAGTTATAGAGGAGAACACCAGTCAGTCACCTTCTGACTGCCACACATACAAGGACAATCAAACATGCAAACACATATGCAGACACAGACAGACTCCCCTAATACATAAACAAACAAACAATTCTAAAAACAAGCCAACTGCTTGGAACAAGACAATAGGAAACATGTTTTAAGTGTGTCTCAGGCACTTCCCTCCTCACTTATCATAGGGTCAAGGATATAAAGAGCGAACAGATTTTAAAGACTTTACTTTAAGAAGAGGCCACTGGTTACTTTTCTTATTTGAGGCTGCAGAGATGGATTAGCAGTTAAGAGCACTTACTGCTCTTGAAAACAACCTGAGTTCAGTTCATTAAATAGAGGACATGGTGTTGAGAATATCAGATATATAGTCACAGTTTGAAAAAACAAATGAAATTTGTTTTCTCTATTCCTTTAAGTTGTTGTGATATTTGTTTTCATTTTTAAATTTTTCCTTATTTTCCCCCAGCATAATATTCCTATTGATTATTTGAGGATTTCATACAATACACAACATCACACTGGCTCCCTATTCCTTCCAGGTTCACACTCTCATCTCTGTGCCCTACTTCCAAAAGCAAAAAATACACAAAGTCCAATTTGTGTTGTCCATATATTCATTGGAACATGCTCAATCAACCAGTAGTTAGCCCCAATTTATCAATTAAAGATAATTGAGTCCTTCCCTACCCCCTCCCCGCAAACCATCAACTGTGGTAAACCATACAGCTTCTTTATTTATTATATAATTTTTAACTGATTCTTTGGGAATTTCATATCAGGCATCCCAGTCTCACCCATCTCCCAGTTCTTCTGTATCCACCCTTCTCCCTTGCAGCATCCTCCACCCCCAGAAAAACATAAAAAGAAATAATAAAAATAAAAATAGGAATATTAATTAAAAGACAAAAACAAATAATAAAAAAACACACTTGCTATTCTATTTTCCCCACTTCTCTGTCACCTCTTCATTCGTCTTAGTGATGTTGGGAGCTGTGGTGTATTGTGCAGCATACTCTTTTGACCAAACAGCTTTACTTACAAATTATGTAGTATGTTGTTGATCAGGTTCAAGGCCTCTGGCCTCTGCTACACCATCAATGCTGGCCCCTCACCGAAATTCTTCTGGGATATCTTGCTGACAATCCACCATATTGATTTCCAAAGTGGCTGTACATGTTTGCCCTCCCACTAGCATGGAAGAGTTTTCCCTTGTCCCACATTCTCTGCAGCATAAGTTGTCATCAGTGGTTTTGATCTTAGCCATTTTGACAGGTGGAAGGTGGAATCTCAGAGTCATTTTGATTTGCATTTCCCAGATGGTTAAGGATGATGTATATTTTTTTAAGTGTTTCTCAGCCATTTGAGGTTCTTCTTTTGAGAGTTTTCCGGTTAGGTCTGTACCCCATTTTTAAATTGGATTAGTTGATATTGTGATGTCTAGTTTCTTGGGTTCTTTATATATTCTTGTAATCAGCCCTCTGTCAGATGTGGGGTTGATGAAGATCTTTTCCCATTCTGTAGTCTGTGTTTTGTCCTAGTGACAATGCCCTTTGTCTTACAGAAGCTTCTCAGTTTCAGGATGTCCCATTTATTAATTGTCGATCTCAGTGTCTGTGCTACTGGTGTTATATACAGGAAGTAGTTTCCTATGCCAATCCATTCAAGACTACTTCCCAATTTCTATTTATTTATTTATTTATTTATTTATTTATTTATTTATTAAGATTTCTGTCTCTTCCCCGCCACCGCCTCCCATTTCCCTCCCCCAATCAAGTCCCCCTCCCTCGTCTCTTCTATCAGGTTCAGTCTAACTGGATTTACATTGAGGTCTTCCATCCACTTGTACTTGAATTTTGTGCAGGGTGATAGATATGGATCGATTTCTGTTCTTCTACATGTTGACATCAGTTATGGTAACACCATTTGTTGAAGATTCTTTCTTTTCTCCATTGTATAGTTTTTGGCTTTTTGTCAAAGCTCTAATGTCCATAGGTGTGCGCATTTCTGTCTGGTCTTAGGTTTGATTCCATTGAACAATGCATCTATTTTTATGCCAATACCTAATGCTGTTTTAATTACTGTCATTCTGTAATAGAGCTTGATATCAGGCATGGTGATACCTCTGGCAGTTCTTTTATTGTACAGGATTGTGTAAGCTATCCTGGGTTTTTTGCTTTTCCAGATGAAGTTGAGTATTTTTCTTTCAAGATCTGCAACGATTTGTATTGTAATTTTGATGGGTATTGCATGAAATCTGTAGATTGATTTTGGTAAGATGGGTTATTTACTATGTTACTCCTACTGATCCATGAGCATAGATCTTTCAATCTTCTGATATCTTTTCCTATATTTTTCTTCAAATACTTGAAGTTCTTGTCATACAGGTCACTTGCTTGATTAGAGATACACCAAAATATCTTATATTGTTGTAGCTATTATCAAGGGTGTTACTTCCCTGATTTCTTTTCTGCACATTTCTCAATCGCCTATGAGAGGCCTACTGGTTTTTGAAAATTAATCTTGTATCCAGCCATTTCACTAAAGGTGCTTTTCAGCTGTAGGAGTTCCCTGG